TGAAGCAGTTCAAAACAGGAGCATTTTTTAGGATTTTCACTTCAACTTCAAATCGCCACAACTTCTTCGTTTCAGCCCAAATCACGAACCATTTGATTTTGTGTCCCACATTCCATCATCGATATATCTTATCTGAATGTCATCTTTAAGAACTTTTAACTTGAAAACACTCAAAACATACCTGTGATCCATAAAAGACATTTATGAAATAATTAAGTTAGACTGAATAAATTAAACCTAATTTTCCTTAAGTAATTTCTCATAACCACTAAGTACACCCGTATTTTCAAGCACTTATTAGTGAAAAATGTCGACTACAACAAGGTGATTCAGACATTGACAGGGGACAGGCATAATGGGTCATGGTGGGTGATGATATAAGAAATTTCTACAGGAAATCTTTGCATGGATACTTGTATATGGAAATATTTCATGAACACAAGATTGATGCAACAACCATAATAGTACGTGGATCGAGTGAGAGCAATCTTGCTTTATGCCATTGTGATGAAGAGAAGATGAATGGGGTAGCATAATTGTGTCTCAAATATTATCGTGTGGCAACAATCCTCAGAATAGCATTTGTACTCATTACGAACTATGTCATCAACGGGGTTTACTTATACTTGAAAGATGTGTGATTCACCCCGTGCGTTGTTTGACTTATAGTAAATGAACAAACTCTAATAGGAAAGAAAAAGCTAATGGAATAGGGGGCTCATCTTCAAGTGCTTCACAAGAGGAAACATATGAGAATTTGCAGCTAAGGTAGAGGTCTGTACGTGCTTATCAACATCAACAATGAATGGATGAATGCCAATTTCAAGTCCTCTTCGACATGTAAGAGATCAAATGGAGCAAGCAGGGTTGACAATTCAAAGTCAAATTGAGGATTTCATTTTCAACCAGTGAGCCGATGAAGAAGATGATGATGAGGACTCCAATGAGTATGGAGGAATAAGCAATGGGGGAGCTTAGCACATTCGAAGTGTTAATGTGTTGCATTTCCTTTATTTTATTTTTCCTTGTGTATTTTCTTTTGTGTGCTTTGATCTTCTTTTACGATGTTGTTTGTTGTGATGGTTTTATTTTGGTTTTTTAAGTTTTAAGTTGTGATAACTTTGTTTGGTTTGATATGTTGTTTTTATGTTTCATCCATAAATTCCTGATGCACCTAAATTGCCAAGAAAGGCATAGTTTGTATTTTGACTAGATTTCTGAAATATTGGACCAAAAAAACGTTATGCATGCCTCCACGTGATTATTGATAATCCGTAAATTATCAGTTTTTATTTGATCTTTTGTCGGATGTCAGGTACTTTCTAGTGCATTTTTACCTGAATTGGTGCTTAATTCTTTACTTTTCTTGTTTCAGGTTAAAATGTACTTTTTGAGCGAAAAAGACAAAATTGATAGTTTTGACTCAGAATTGAGGGATTTCAGAAGATAGGAGAGTTCCAGAGCAGAACAAAGCACGATTAAGCTTGTTTCCAAGATAGAGAGCCGAAAATCGAAGATCGAACGAAGAGGCAAGCAGAGTGGCAGTTCTGTAAATTCAGACTTTTGAAGGAGCTTCGCCACGAAGAAATTGTCTTCGCCGCGGCGAAGTTAGGCAGAGACGATTGGGATTTTCATTCTTCGCCGCGGCGACAGTCAAATATTCAGTTTTGTAAACGCACAGTTTCGCGTGTGCGTGTTTTTGGCTGGGTTTTTAGACTAAGTATAAAAGGAAAACGTTTCTTTTGTAAGGGACTTCAGCTTTCTAGGTTTAGCCGTTTTTACACTTTTCTTAGAGTAAAGCTTGTAGTTTGGCGGATTATTGAAGGGAAGATTCAGATTTTTGCTAGAAGATTCATCTTCTGGGAAGATCTCATCTTTCATCTTAGTTTTATATGTATAACTTGTTTATTTCTATTTTTCGTTTTTGTAGTATTAAATTAGTTATGAACTAATTTTCTATGGGTTAGGGTTTTGATGTAGTTTGGATTATATGGGTTAATTACTGATGGTTTTATTTCCATATGAATAAGTTTTGGTTGTGTGTTACTCTGTTTTTAAATGCTGAATGTGATGAACATGATGAGATTGGAAATAATCAGGTAGGTGGAGTTGAATTGAAGAAGTTATGGAATTTTGAAGTTAAAGAGAAGATTTTAGCTAGATTATGCTTTAGTTTGAACATGCTTCAGTATTTCAACAATAACCAGATCTGCAAACCTCAGATGGAGACCATTCTTGAACCATTGGAAAGATTATTCGAAGGGTTACATTTCCATGTTTATCACTTGGCCAAACTCGAATGTTATCATGCTCAAACATCAAAATCTATGGAGTGTTGAAGAATGATGCAAGGTCTAAATTGAAGAGACGATTTGGACACCATGCCACGTCACAACAAAGTTAGAACCACCCATGCCGTGACACACTCACGAAAACTGGAAAATTTATTTCCTTGTTTGATTAAGAAATTGGGGTTTTAGGAGTACTAAACTTAGTAGATGAGAGGGAACGAAACCCTAACCCTTGTGAGATATAAATACAAGTCTTAGCATTATTTGGGGGACTTTTGGGGGGAGATCAAAAGGAAAACTATTAGAAGAAAAGAAAAGAGCATCAAAATTTCTGGAGCTTTTGGAGCAAAATTATAGAGAACTTTTTCTTTGTTCTTCCTTAAACTCAAGATTTTTGTTTTAATAAAGATTGTTGTTTCTTTTATATTTGCTATGAACTAATTTTATTTTCTAGGGTTAAGATGTAGCACAACCTCTTGAATATGTATTGAATGGCTTGTGTTAATTGCTATTGAGATTGCTTCCTAAGTTTTATTATTGTGCCTAATGCTTTTGATTCTCAAGGGATCGAGAATTGGATGAATTAATGAACTAAGTTGAGATCGAGAGATGACGTTTGGTTGGTCTAAGGTAGTAAATCCATATGTTCACTACAAGAATTTAGGCTTCTCACAACAAAATAATTTGTCACTGTAAATATCAAAATTGTGACCATTTTACTAATGTGTGGAATAATATTTATTACCAGGTTGGTCACATTAAATTCGTACTCTTAAGTGTATGGTGACGAAAGAGCGTTTGGTCATTATAGTCTAATAATTTATTGTGACAATAATAATTTGTCACTTTAAGCTTTGTGATAAATTATTTGTAACAATAGAAAACAATTTTTATCATTGTAAGTAATATTTTGTCACAATCGATTTACATTTAAAGACCAATTGATAAGCTTTATGGTGAGAAAATAATATATTATGAAAAAATTGATTTTGTCAAAATTGTGAATAGTGACTAAATTATTTGCTCACAAGTTTAATAGTGACATAAATTTATTTGTCACTGACTTTATTGTAACAACATTTATTTTGTCACATGTTTCTTTATATGACAATATTATTTGTCAAAAATTGTGTAGTGACGACAATAATTTTATAAAAAATTTAATAGCAAGACAAATAATTTTTTATACAAATATTTTTACATGACAATTTTTTTATTGTCACAATAATATAGACGTGAAATTTTTTTTTGGTCATTTCAATAATGATAAAAATATTCATGTCTATACTTCTAGAGTGTGACGAATCTTTTTCGTAGAAAGAATATTCAAGTGAAAAAAATAATTTATTTGGAAATTAAAATTGTGATAAAATATATTTATCAAATTTTGTTAATAGCGGCAAAAATATTTTTGTCAAAATCGTGAAAAAAAAAATTTAAGTCATTAAATTTTGAGACCTTATTAAAAGTGACAAAAGTATCTTGTCAATAATTTAAAAGAGTGACAAAAGTTATTTTATAACAATTTGATTTAACAATTTTATATATACCTTTCACATTTAATAAATAAAATTTGAATAATTGCCTTTTTTCCCCCATAATGAGACATGCATATATTATATGAATCTATATATCGCTTTCAGCTTAAGATGAAATTATGTCAAGGAAAAATTTGTTAAAATATATGAAGTCAACGGCATTAAAATTTTAATGCCCTTAACATACGTTTAACACATAAAAGTTAAAGATACTCTACTACAACTATTTTATTGATAAAAATATGAAAGCGTATATGTGTTGATGGGCGCTTCTTAATCATTTTTTTTTTCTGCCACATCGATATTCTTCAATAGTGTAGGACAGCTGAACCATGGATAACCAGAAATTCTCATGACTACAATGACCAAAAATTAACCTTCATGACCTCTTTTCGGTTATCCAACAAGACAGCAGTAACAGGAGCAAAATGACCAACAGCTTTAAGTTGATTTGAGTTAAATAATGTATGTTACATGACAAAAATATTAGCGAGAACAAGATTCCTGGCTGAATAATATAGAAAATGAGTGAAACATAATCTAAAAAATCTACAATTGATTAAGCAATACATACCACATTTTTCCAATATTCATCTGTCAAATGCACAATTTCAAACTGTACATCAACCTGAAAACCAACGTCATTTAATTTCAGTGCGAAGTTGTCTCTTCTGCACAACCTATACCAAGGAGATCAAGACAAGACTTTGCCTATCATAAATAAAAGTAAAACCCTTTCATGGAAATCATGCCAGGGGGGCTATTTATGCAGGCAGTTTGATCAAAATGATTAGCACTCAATTTTTGTAATTTCGTCACAAAATGATTAGCACTCAATTTTTGCACCGCGCCAACAATGCCATTTGGAGGGAATGATGAAATAGTATGGAAGGAAATCATTTTGGGACGAAATTTATTATTTTTGGACGAAAAGTTTTGTAGCTAAGAACCTTCTTTTTCTGGGAGGAATTTTTTGTCTCTAATCGTGCAAAATTTGAAAAACTTATTAAAGGATGAAATATAATTTTGTTTTTGATTGTAAAAATATATTTTTAGAGACGAATTTATTATTTTTGGACGAAACATTTTGTAGCTAAAAACCTTTTTCTTATCGGACGAATTGTTTTGTCTCCAAAAACCTAATGCCCATTAGCCCAAAATTTTCGTCCCAAAATGTCCCAAAGTTTTTGTCCCCAGAAACCTAATATCCATTAACCCGAAATTTTTGCCCCAAAATGTCATCTTCTTCAAATCTTCTTCTCTCAATTAAGATTTTCGCAATCTTCACTCAAATTTCCTCCAAAACCGATGGCTAGATCCCTCTTTCTCTCTCTAAACAAATCCATCTCCACCGTCCATCTCCACCCCGGCCACAAGCGTCACCTCCTTCCCCTCAGCCCATCGTCTTGCCTCGTATCTCTCCGTGCTCAATCCAACCAAACCGACCTCTCCGACCTTTCCACTTCTTCCGACTCCACCATCGACCCTTTGCACTCGACTTCATTATCGATGCAATGTTTTGTTTTAATTAGCTGTTTGCTTACTCATTTGCTCAAGTTCTTTAGAATTTTGATGTGTTATATGTTGTATTTTTTAATGTTTCAAATGGGTTAATTGTTTTGTATGCTTGTATTGTTGGTTGCGCTACTTGGAATTGGTACCCAGATGGATTTCATATCACCTACTGTAAGTACTAGCTACTCCGTGTTTATCCACTGGCTTGTAATTATATAATCATCTTCAATTCCTAAAATTACTTGGGGCTTTGTGACTTTTATTATTTTATAATTTGTAAATAGGATAGTATGATGTTGAATAAACATTCAGGTAGTATATCTGGCTTGAAATACAGATTTTTTAATGTTTTATGCTGTGTCATGAGTATTTTGAAACTCAGAGTAGGCATTGTCGCGTGAAATGATGAAAGTTTCAAAGTGATAAACTTAAGATTATAGGTTCAAATTGTAAGTATATATGAAATGTTTGGACAACCCTCATTCGACTTGACTTTTGATGGTGCGTATTTTTGTCTTTTTTCTAATTAAATTAGGTTTAGTGTGATATTTGACATTTATGTGAACTTGAGCTGCTATCAGAAACTTTAATGTTTTGCTTTCTTGTAAGTGATGTAGTTTCTTCTTTGGTGCCTGGAAAGTTTGGTATGTGGTTGTTGAATGAAATATACTTATTCATTTAATTGGTAAACATTATTCTTGAGTACATGCATGCTCTTATGTGTCAGCATCTTTCTTCAAGTTAACTTATCATAACTTACAGCATTATATTTTATTGACATTGTTGAAGGTTGAATTTGCATTCTAACTCAAATCATTTAATTATAAATTTAAGGTGTCTCCGTGGAGCCACAACCTCAATGTGTAGATTGTAAATGTTTAAATAATTGTAATGAAGTGATTGGATTTTGCAGAGGTTAGGGTGGAGGAGAGGAGGATTATGAGAAGAATTGGGATAAGTTTTGGGATGGTAGTGGCAACGGCGACGGTGGCCATGGCTTTTAGAGGGTTTCAAGCTGGTGGAGGTCCAGGTGCTTGCTTGCTGCTGGAAGAGATTGAGAGCCAAATTGAATTGTTGGTAAATGAGTGTGAGTTCCGTTTCGTAGCCATTCGGGTTGCATTTCATTTTCGATTGTAGTAATGGTAAGCTTAACTTGTCGGAGCTTCGGCTGGAGGGTGTGGTGGCTAGGTGGTGGCGCTACTGTTGGCTTGTTATGAACAAGAGGGTCTGATGGCATCTGTTAGGTAGTGGGTGAGAGAATGTTTTTGCAAAAATGAAAATATTAAAATGTAGTAAATTAACATTTTAGCCTTTAACTGTTAAAAGACAAGAAATGGTGTTAATTTATGGGTGGGACTGTGGAATTTATGAAACCTGGAAAATTACCACGCTAAACCTTGGGTGGGAACATGTCGTTTACTATTTCATATATGCTTGTTTTTAGATCATTAGATGAGGGTTGGTGGTTATTAAAATATTTTACTTCATTTTAATGAATTATGCTTAAATCTCTTGACACCATACAGTATCAACATCATAAAATGATTTGAACTTTGTGTTCTTAAATATTAATCTTATTAGTTGTTCTATTTTTAATAGGAGGTTGAATCTTAACAGCTTGTCAGGTTCACTTTCTCCATCTATCGGCAATCTAACTGCATTATAAACCTGTAAGCAGTTGATATAAAATTTTAATTTTGAAACTCATACTATTTTCCTTTTCTTTATTTTTTTTTTTATGCCAACTAGTTCTCATTTTGGTTAGGGACTTCGGCGTTCGGCGTTAATAGATTATCTGGGTAGCTTCCAAAAGAGCTTGGGATGCTTTCTGAATTAGCATTCCTGTAAGCTCAAACTTTGTCCTCTTCTTAACTACTGATAATTTACTGTACAAACTCTTTTTTGGTAATTGCATTACAATTATATAACTGAAGAGCTAAATTATCAATTCGTGTAACTGAAAATGGAAAAGTTAGTGTCCGTCAAATACTTTCTTTCTGTCTATTTGGTCATTTTTAACAGTCTGTATTTAAATTCTTGATATTTTTACCTTGTATATAATTCTTTAGGTGGTTGGAATACAACTGAATCCTCAGTTTATGGGCATTAATCTCAGGTATGTAATCTCTCTTCAACTTTATGGGAAACTTTTCTTGTTCATGTGCTTGACAATATATTGGAAACAGTAATGACCATATTTATTTTGATTTCTGTTGCTGTATATTCTTGAAATTGGCAGGCTCTACTGCAATTAATTATTGCCCTTACAATCAAAACTCTTCTTCTGTCTTCTTCTGAGTTTTGGTTGTGTTGATCAGTCTGAGTAATGGCATCGTTGACATAAATGTGTCTAATATACATGGTAAATTTTATATAGAACACTCTGTTAACAGTGGGTAATTGAACGGATGGTAAAATGGAGGAAAAATTATTGTGAATGATGTTATTTTTCAAAGGCATTCAGAAAGTTGTTTCTGGTTAGATATCTTATAAAGAAATTTTTTTGATAATTATGTCACTTTTTTTGTGCAGATGATTGTGGCAGGAGCCAGAAAAGCTGGTCAAAGTCAATATGGGTGGTTGAAGGAAGCATTGGATAGATTAGTAGAGCAACTAACGTCGCAATGACAACAACTTGATGAGGAATAACTGGTAAATCATTCTTTGAAGCTAATCAAGAAAATCTGAATTGTAAATAAAATGTTGTTGAAGGCAAAGAGATTGCATTTAGGACGGATAAACTTGAGCCCGAAGTAGTAAGGATGGAAGCAAACAAGAAACTGTGACAGCATTGAAGATTTTGGGCTATAGGAAAGAACAAAGATGTTTGCAATTTTGTTTCTTGTTTCACTCTTTTGGGATTGGAATCCTGAAACTTACTTAGAAGATTCTGTGGTAGTGGGTAACTAGGAATTGTAATGTTGACAGTTTTTGTTAATAAAGAAGTGCAATTTGATTTGGGGAACTCAGCTTTTGTTGTTTTGTTTGTTTATATAGTGAAATGAAAATGAATCTGGGTATTATCATGAAGGAAAATTAGTAGGGTTGATTCATAAATTGGGATTACGGTTAATCATCATATTATCAACCCAATCAAGGACAAAAATTTTCGTCCCCAATTCACCATACCATGAGGGATGAAATTCTTTGTCACCAATTCAGCACACCATGAGGGACAAAATTTTTCATCCCCAATTCACCACAACATTGGGGACGAAAATTTTTGTCTCCAATGATTGATCGAGTTAGGGACGAAATTTTTTTGTCCCTAAATGTGCTTTTTTTGGGGACGAAACAGTCTCAATTAGGACAAATAATTATTCTTTTTCGGACAAAACATTTCGTCACAAAATAAATATTTTTTAACGACAAAACCGTATTTCGTCCCCAATGGCATGGATTTGGGGATGAAATGTTTTTCCGTGGGTATTACCCTTTGGCGACACGGCTTTGGGGACGATTTGGTCTGTCGTCCCACATTACTTTTTAGGACAAATTTTGCACTTCATGCGACGAAAATTTTCGTCCCTAAATGTTAAATTTCTTGTAGTGAATGAAATATCAAATACAGCCCTTTAAATAATCATTATAATCATATTTCAAAGCAACCCAATCTTTACAGTTTATGGAAGAACAATGGAAAATGAGAGAAGCAACCTGATCACAAACAGCTCTTGCATACTTCAAATCTTCTTCCCACGGGCACTCTGACCACAAGTTCTCAAAAGTCTTCCTATACACCAAACCACGGATCAGAACCAGCTTGTTCTAATGTCTAACAGAGTAACAAGATTAGAAGACACACCTATTTCACGTCAAGCTATAATATGCAAACATACATGTCCCTATGTCATTAGTAAGGCAATGAAGGCGGTGAAAGGATTTCAAAATGAAAGTGGGGAAAATAGAAAATGGCTCAAAATTCCACAGGCACTCTGACCAAAATTCTCGTTCTTTTAAAATTCATATTCCTACACCAAACCACAAATCAGGTGTCCTAATTAAAAATTGTTGATTTAATTTTAAGCTTCACAAAAATAACTTTACAAATAATAATAAAAATAAACTATTAGAATAAAAAAAAACAAAAAACAAACAATCTACCTCTAGTATTTAATAATTCAGATCTCATAGGTGCCGCTTGATATTCTTAGAGAGAGATATTTTTTTTTGAGTTCAACACACCTCTTGATATTCTCAGAGATAATCTTTTTGAGTTCGACTCAATTTGTTTAGGATGAACATTCGATGATAAAGTAGTTTTCTTCTTACTACTAGGTGTCATGATTGTTCGTATAACGAAGAAAGATTGACAACAAATGCCGAAATAGAAGAAAAAATTTGAAAAAAGATGAAGGGTTAGTAAAAGGAAGCAAAATGGAGATAATTAGGTTATTCATTCCGTATTTATATACTTGACTTGAAATAGAAAAGGTACTTAAAAATAGTTTAGAGTTTTAATTTTTACACCTTTTGGAGGGAATTAAAAAATAAAATTGCCGCCTCCTAAATCGCTTCCAAAAATTTTCCCTCTCCAACAATTTCATCTCTTACAAAACACTAAGAACATGTCCATCGATGTTCTTGATTGAGAAAGCAGATGTTTATGAACAAGTTGTCAAGAAGCCGAATCCAAATTAAAATTATTTTGCTCGGAACAAGATTGACCAGTTTCTGGTAAGTTGGCTATACTCTACAATGTCTGAAACTATGTATCTTCATGTAGCTAAGTGTGTTTCTGTGTATGAGATTTGGAATATTTTAGAGATGCACTTTCAATCTGCTTCTAAGGTTAGAACCCTTCACGTTAGAAATTTGTTACAAACTACAAAGAAAGATGCTAGTACTGTTAATGAGTGTTTTAAAAATAAGAGAGTTAGGGGACGAATTGATTGCCAGTTAGGGCTGCAAAAATTCGGGTTAATTGAACCGGATACATGCTTTTTTTAACCGAACCGGTTTTTCGGTTCAAGCCATATTGCAAACCGAAACTGGTCCGGATTTTGCATAAACCGGTTTGCAAACCGATCCGGATTTTTAGTTTGCAATCCAGTTAACTGGTTTGCGAACCGGTTTTAGTAATAAATTTTTAAAAATACATTACAGTCTCTAACTAACTCCAGCAGATACAATAGTCTGCTTCTCCCAAATTCATCCAAAGCCCCCACACTATTATATAATATATGCTTCTTACTGTGGAGTTCTTGAAGGAAATACCAATTTGAAATCCAGATACCCAATTAAAAGCATCTACTTCACACTTATTTCAAGTGTGAAATACGGTAAAGAGTATGAGCATTTGTTGGCGATTCATTACCCTAAAAAGCACTCAAAGCGTGTATCATTATCATTGTCATAAAAAATCAATAATTTTATTTAAAAATTTTAAAATGATACCATTTAAGTTCTTAAAGATTTCTTATTTGTAAGGGGCAGGGGTGAGTGGGAGGAGAAGATTACATATGATAATCCCATATATTGCGACTGAATAGTGAATACTTCAACAGGGAACAAAAGATGCAAGAATAGTAAATAAACTGAAAATGCCGAACAGTGCATAAAGAGCACCAACATATCTGCACTTTGCTGAGGATTGATTCCTACACCATCTGCATATAATAAACAATAAACTCCAACCATAATCACATTGATGTAAAGCCAAAAAAACTTCTCCAGCTGCTAAGGTTGCACTATGGCGTGTGCATAAAGAAGAAGACAGAGAAAACAAGCAAGTTTGAGAAGAGAGGACGGGAGGAGGACTGGAGGAGAGACGAGTAAATCTGTAAATGTAATGAAGAAGAAGATGAGTTTGAGAGGGCAGCGGCGGCTATTGGAGTTTGAGAGGAGTATGGAGTGTGAAGTTAGGGATTCAAACTAATAAAGATAATAAAGATTTTTAAAAATTAAAATAATATTATTATATTAGGATTATAGGAAAACCGGTTTATTAAACCGGTTTCGGTTAACCGGTTACAAAAATAATATAAACCGTAAACCGAACTGAACCGAACCGAAAAACCGGTTTAGCCATTTTTTGAAACCAAAACCGAAACCGGTTAACCAATTTTTCAGATCGATTTTGGTCCGGTTTATCGGTTAGGTTCGGTTTCCCCTTTTTTTTTTGTAGCCCTATTGCCAGTGGTGTCAATATATCTGATGAAGAACTCCTGCTATATATATTAGATGGCCTTGGGCCTGAATATGATGCAGTTGTGGCAAATTTGACTAGACTAGTAGTCAAACCACTTTACAGGAGGCTCAATTTTTACTTCACAAACATTAAATTAGGCTAGAATGACAACATGCTTCCTTGACTCATTTTCATGAAGCTTTGATGGTCTCTAGGCAAGGTCAGAGGACACAAACCCTCACCTGTTTGAGGTTGATAATTCAAGAACCTTTAATCAACTCTCACCATCATCACAAGTCTTATCTCAACCACCAATTCCAAATGTCATTTCCCAACATCAACATCCTGGTTTTACAGCCAATCAAGGATTTGCTAGACCTGATTTACCCCCCCCCCCCCCCCCCCCCCCCCCCCCCCCCCCCCCCCCCTCTCTTTCAACAACAATAGTACTCACAGTTTACTGTTTACTTATCTTAATCAATACCAAGTGTATCACTCTCAAATGGTGCATGGTAAAGGAAGAGGCAGAGGAT